TCCTGCTGAGTTTTCTTGGGGCCTTTTCTCGGCACTGGAGCAGCGAGAGTTCCCTGGTGTCCTATCCTCTCCCACAGGACACCCATCCCATCAGAGTGGGGCCCTGCCTAACGGCCTCCCTTCTCAGTGCCTCCCTAAAGGCCGAGTCTCCACACACTGTCACAGTGGGCATCGGGGCTTCAACTCACCAACTCAGTCCACACACTCCCAAAAGGTTCTTTTTGGGGGGGAGGGAGGTTTGCTATAGGGCGGTGCGCTCACCAGAAAGGCAGAGAGAGACAGAGACCAAAAGCAAGAAATCACCCCCCAGGGGGAATGGCCACACCACAATCCCTTCTCCTCCATTCTCCTCTCAGGATCTTGGGCACGCACACACACGCACCCGGCGTGAGTTTAAGCCACTGGGTCCAGGACTCAAACTGCAGTCGACTACATGGGAGTCCAGTGACACAGACATTACGCTAACTGCTAGTCCCCACCACCCAAAAGGTTCTTAACATTTTAAATCAGATGTGAAATGGGAGTTAGCCACTCTTACTGATCACTTGGAAAACTGATATAATGACTGATACTCATTCCCTGCTTCGGCCGTGGAATGACATGCTGGGGAGGGCCGGAGCTCTGCACCGCGCTGCTGGTCCCAGGTTCTTCCGTTCTGCGACTCTGAGGCGTGACAATCTTGTGTAAAACAGGTCCAGACCCGGCCTCCCCATTGCTCCATAATTCACAGATTCACATCGAGTGCTTAGCTCTAAAACGCTGGTCCCACAATGAGCCAGGGCCGCCCACTGCTCTAGCCGCCAGCATCCAGTCGAGTCGCCAGCTCCGCACTGCCTTCCTGGGTCCCGCGATGGAGCATTGCCCAACTAGAGCTTCGGTCAGCGGGAGAGCCTGCCCGTGAGTCCTGTGGGCAGCCTGAGATGCGGCCAGAAACACCCACACAGGGCCTCCAGGGCCCGCGGCCAGACGGCAGGTGTGCGTTCCCGGTGGAGGGCACCTCTTCATCAGCGCTTGCTCCTGTCCTGGCAGAGTGAAGCTTGCAGAGCCAGTGTTTTCTAGAAGCTCTGCCACGTGGGCGTCTACAGCTGCAGGGGCAGGGGATGGCTTCGCCCAAGGAAGCTTAACTTGCTTACTCAATCTTGCCAAGTCTTACTTTTTCCCTTGTAAATGGGAAGTTGGGGTGAGCTGAGAACGCGTCTGTGAGGTGCCCTGTCCAAGGCGGAGTGGGGATGGAGTCTCCTGGGAGCTGCTGCTGCGAGGCTCCTGCTGTGGTCACAGGGGCCTGTGCTCAATGCTCAGCCCACGCCGGCTGTCTGCCGGCCCCACGAGGACCACAGACCACGTGGGGTTGCTGTTCTCTCAGCCGTCCGCTGTCACTGCCCACCCAGGCTGCACCCTTCCCCGACGCCCGGCAACCCACCCGACCCTCTAGGCCGCGGCTCTGCAGCTGCGGGTGTCAGACGGCGAGCATACTCCTCAGAAGACTGCCAAGTGGGAGAGGAGATGAGGTCCCCGCAGGAAGGTCTTCTCTGGGACTCAGGAGGGGAGGGAACAGAGTTTTCTGGAGTGGCAGAGAACTGGGACAATTGAAGGCCAACGGTAGTGTCCTTGGCAGGTCTCTGCCCTGGCCCTGGGAAGGGCTGCCCGCCTGGGGTCAGTGCAAACGCAGACCGAGAGCCAGAAGTTCCTGTGACAGCCCAAAAGCAGCCCCAGAGACGCGTGTCTGAGCCCCGAGTGCCACCTGACTTGGGAAAGCAGCCCTGCAGAGAAAGGAAGGGCCGCAGAGGAGCGCTGACCCCGCATGGCCTCGCCGGGCCCCGAGCCCCTCACTCACAGGCCCTGTGAGAGGACAGAGAGCAGACAGCAGGCCCTTGGAGAGGTGGCGCGAGGACGCGGGGACCGGAGGGCTAAGCCCGACTGTCGGGGTGCCAGCCAAGTTGGCAGGCGGGTTCCCAGAGCCCTGGGCAGGCTGCAGCTACCACCCTGACCCCCCGCTGGGAGGGAACCGTCCGCTATGAGCAGGCAGGAGGCCGGGCGGTCCTCCTCCAACCCAGGAAAGGGCAGCCCCACCCCACACCCCAGGCCATCCCTGCCGTGGCAGCAGGGAAACCCGCTGAGACCCCGAGACCGGGCGACTCGGCCTTGGCCCAATGGGAGGGGCAGGAGCAGCCTCTGAGCCTCACAACTCAGGAGGGCCCTTCCGCTACAGCTGTGGAGCCTACCCCACCCCTGCTACCCAGCGGCCTCATGGGCCTCTGTCTCCCACCCAAGGGAGGGCTTCTATGGGGTTGCTGGGCCACTGTGGAAGGCCGCATATTAGATCTTGCACAAGAACAGCTGTTCATCCATGTTGTCCCCTTACCCTAACACGGCTGTCTGCTTCTGTAACCCCACTTGCTCTTCCGTGAGAAAGTGGCCTGTGCCAGCCACAGAAAACCGTACCTGGGATGACAGCCTGTACCTGCTACCGTCTTCGCTAACTGGCCCCAACCCTTCTGTTTAGCAGTGGAACTGCTTGCATGGAAACCCCACTCCCCTCAGAAACAATTACGCTACCTGATTCAGCTTCCGAAACTGCTTGCACAGAAACCCTGGTAACTGACCCCCATAAAGACTGCTCCGACTTCGGTCAGGCTGCAGTTCTGACTCTCAGTGGCCCCGCTCCCCAGCCTCAGACTGTAGTCGCCGGCAGCTAATACAGACTCCGTTTCAACTGCATCTGGCTTTGGTGGTCGTTCATTTGGTGGCACTCTGCAACACACCATCTGCTGCTTCCAAACCCCCCGTCAATCCCCTGAGCACTTCCCTGTGTCCAGCAGGTCTAGATGTGTGACCACCAGGCAGCCTACAGGCCCTGCTCCCTTACTGACAGCCGCCACCTGGGTCCCGAAGCCACACCAATCCACTTACGGGAGCTCCTCCTGTCCTGCTCAGGCCATAGGCACAGCCAGACGCCTCACCTTCAGCCCATGCTGCCCCCAACGGCAGAACCTTGCTCAGCCCACACCTGTTAACTACACGGCCACAGATGAGCTTCTGGGGGGTGGGGGGAGGTGCTCTGCAGCAGCCTCTGGAACTCGCGGAAAACCCACTTCTCATCTCAGTCCCCCTGAGCCCACGGCTGCCCTAGCCCCACATGCAGCAGCCTCACTTCCAGATGGGAGATCGCACTAGTCCATGCCCTCCCCCGACTCCTGCTCATCAGTGATGTGAACAGATCGGGGGACAGTCATCCTCTGGGTCCACACGAGGGACAGAAGACAGACGGCCCCTCCCTGGCCCGGAGCACAGGTGCCGTGGTCCTGCCAGGGAGCCTGGCGCAGGGCGTGCACCACAGGTGGCAGGCAGGGCTGCTCGGACATGGGCTTGCAGACCTGGACAGCCTCCCCACTGGGGGCCGCGTCCTGCCCTCCCCTGGGCCTGGCTTCCCTCGGTGCATGGCTCAGGGTATCCCTCAGCGGCCCAGCCGCACGCCAAGAACCAAGCGGGTACAGGCTCTGCGGGTGTCGCACTCTAAGTGGTGTCCCCTCCCCAGAAGGCACCCTGCCCGGCCGCGATTGCTGTCCCCACCCCTCACTGGACGAGAGACGTCGCCCGCGTCTTCACAGGTGTGCGACGGTTCCCTCCCCCCAGATTTTACTGCATCCTCGATTTCCACCCGAATGAGGAAGACGAGAGCCCGAAATGTCTGTGACCAGCAACAGCTGGACTGAGGAGGTGACGTCCCCACTGTCACTCCTGCATCACCCCCACAGGACGGCGGACCTCCCGGCTCCTAGCAGGAGGGCAGGAAGTGGGGAGGAGCCGTGGAGTACGCGGACCCAGGGCGGGCGGGAGAAGCATGCGGGTGCCCAGGCCTGCTGCGGTACCGCCCAGTACCAGAGCCCTGGAGGAGACCCAGTTCCAACTCTGGGTGGCCCTGGACGTGCCAAGTACATCCATGAGCCCAGCAGGCAGCAGACTGGGAAGGGATTGCAGCATGGCGGGACCCTGTGGAGGGCACCTGCCCCCTCTCTGTGTCTCTTTCTTCCTCTCAATAAATACACTGTTTCTAAGAAAGAAAACGATGAAGAGGGCGTGTGGAGTGGCCGTGAGGGCGCGGGTGCACTGAGCACAGGCAGGGTGCCAGGGCACACCCTGCTTCCATGGGGCACTGCCAGCCAGGACTCTGGTGGTCATGCCCGGGGCCTTTCCTCTCAGAAGCCTCGTCTCCCTGAGGCTGTAGGAAGACCTCCACCAAAGCTCTGCGCAGGCCGGGGTGGGCCCTGCCGAAGCTGTACTCCTTCCCGCTGGGAATTTGGCCAAGTGAAAGCACGGGCAGAGCCTCACCCTGGGCAGGGAGCAGCTGAGCTCCAGCCCCCAGGCCGCTCCTACCTGGGCCAGATCTTCCAATGGCAGCGCGTGCCTGGTCCTGACTTCTCAACGCGGGAAGGCGGCTGCGACTTGGACACCGAGCACCGGGAACTCTCTCCAGCCTTGTCACAACTCCCAAGACTCACACTGCTGCAAAACAAGCAGATCATAGTTCAATTAAAGCCGGGAGTTGGAACAGTGGCCGCCCGCACCAGCTCAGGACCTGAGACAGGGGGCCCGCCAGCCTAAGACTAGCCTCAGGCCATCCCCAAAAGAATCAAGCCAGGACGGGCCACACTGGACAGCGGGTAAGGGCTGCGCGGCGGGACTCCCACCCTACACAGCCGCCCACAGTCCAGAGCTCAGCCTGAGGGCAGGTGGAGGGTGTGAGCCCTGGCGTGGATCCCGCGTGGCTGACTCTGCGGTTCAAGTCCAGACCCTGCAGTTTGAAAAGCGTGCCAGGCGTGTGTGCACGTGCTGGAAGTCCTGAGAAGAGGATGGAGAGGGGACGGCAGTGTGGCCCCCCGCGGGGTGATTACTCACTCTCCCTCACTGTTTCTGTCTGGTGAGTGCACACTGTACATAAACTAAACACAAACAAACCCCAGCCCCAGCAGCTTGGGAAACACACTGGGCACATGTGCATACGTGCCCAGAGTCCTGACAAGAGGGAGGGAGGGGACTGCGGCATGACAGGGCCCCATCGAGGGGTGCCCCCAACTCTCTCTCCGGGGTGAGTACACACATTCTCTGGCCATTAAAAAGATCATCGGGAGTTGTCCTTCTGCTGCTGAAAACCCGCACTGGGTTCACATCGTGCCCGGGGTAAAATCCAGTCCTTTCCACGGCCACGGTCACAGGGCCCGTGGGGCTGGCCTGCCTGTCTGCAGCTCAGCTCACCGGTCTGTGCCCCACACTTAACCCCAATGTGGTGGTATTGAGAGGGGCTTCCTGGGAGTGATGAGGTTACAAGCACTCCACCCCCACAAGTGGTCACACAGGGCTGCCACCGGGTAGGACCCACGCCACGGCACACACAGCTACCTTCAGGCTCTCCAGACCTGCTCCAGCTCCGGCCACAACCCTGAGCCCTGTGTGATCCAGCCACGCTGCCCGGCTGACCTCCTGGCTTGCCACTCCTGGAACACGGAACGTGCTCACGCCCCAGGTGTGTTCTGATGTCCCCTGCCTTGGAGACTTCCAAGATGCTGGCACTTCCTGCTCTTTTTCATGCAGGCCTGGCTCCCACCATTACTTCCCGGGCCTTATTTCTGGAACTTGTGCCCACACAGAGGACATGCAGGAAGGCTGTGAGGTCGCATCCACCGTGTGGTGACCTCAGCAAGCTGCTCTACCCCTGCGGAGGAAGTGGCCAGGGGGCACCCAGACTGGGGACCACTCTCCCGCAGGGACATGCATATTCTGAAAGTGGCAGCTGGAGCCCAGAGAGCTGAGCCAAGTCCTCCATAAATCAAGGGTCTAGGGCTTCGGAGAGGGTCTTGGAGGGTCCCTGGTGACTGCTCTGAGCTGTCCAACCTTGTAGGAAGCAAGAACAGTAGCCCCACCCCACAGGACCGGATGCTCAGCTTCAAACAGCCTCAACCCTCGGCTGAGCGGACGCGGTCTGTAACTGTGAGTGTCCCGGCCTAGGTGTCTGCCAGGCAGAAGTCAGACTCTCAGCAAACACCACAGCACCGAGGGCTCACAGTATCTGCGCTTCCGCACCCGGCACTGGAACTTATCAAGACAAAATAGGCCTGGAGGGAGGGGAGAGATGGCCCAGACAAGAGAAAGCAGACCCACAGGGTCTAGATAACAAAGCGCGCACTGACACAACTGGGATGACCGTGTCTAAGAACATAGAAATCGAGAGTTGATAAACAACTTGCAAAATATGTTTAGAAACTATAAAAGGGACCGAGTGGAGAGTCCAGTGCTGAAAAGTATGAGCGAGATTAAGGACATATCGAATGAGTTTAACGTCACATCGGACGCAGCAGAAGTGAGGATTAGCAAACTAGAAGCTGGAAACCTGTCAAAGGCGAGACCAGGAGCTGACGACACATGAGGGGACTTGGAGAATTTATGGAAACGAAATTAACATGTATGTTTACTTGGGTACTAAACTTCTAAAAATTTTATTTCTATTTTTTTAATTTACTATAAGACACATGCACTCACCAGACACCACACATGCACGCGCGCACACACACACACACACACACACACACACACTCACACACTCACACAGA